GATTGAGGAAGTGTTCTGAGTTTACCTAGGCGATAAGCCGTTAAGTTTTTATGATTTTGAAGATTCTTTTCTACATCTCAATATTGCTAAAAGTTGTGATTTTGTGTTCTTTGTTTGAACAAAAATTTATAAAAAGTTTGGTGAAAATGAAAATCATCTGAAATCAAGGATAATACTTATAAAGAATAACTGATCCCAAGATAAAAAATATAGCCTAAGCAACTAAACTTTTGTAATTTATTGGGACAATACTCTGAAATTTGATCTCTTAAATTCCCAGGTTACAACATAAAAAAATACAATAGCTCTATCGCTGGGTCGAAAAGCTAAAAACCACATCTGGCCTATCGCTATTGATTATTAACTAAGTTACAGGGATAGCCTGAAAACTGTGTACAGTTTCTATGAGAGGAACGCCATAGTATTGAATCGGTATGTTTTGTAGGTGGATCTAACCTAGCCAGTAGACAAAAAATTGTTATGTATGTAATATGAATAACATTAATAACGATATTAGACAATTGCATTTGGAGTGTTTGAAGAGGAGAGCCACATTTGTAATATTATCATTATGTTGGAATCTAGTCACCAGCGATTATTTTCTAGTCTCAGACCCCAAGAATAGCCTCTTGCTAAAAGAATTCTTTCAGTAACTTGGAAGTTAAAATCAATATATCGCATTTGATGTTACCATATATTGAATAAGAGTTTGCATGTCACAAATTGTTTAAATAGGAACTGCAAAATATTCCAAAAGCGGAATCCCATAGTTAGCGTCTGCAATATCGGTTCTTTCTGTCGATTCAATTCAAATAGTGAAACTTTACTTTTTCTTTACTTCTTAAGTAAAAAAATATTATGAAAAATAAAATAAGTTGCAATTATATTAATCATCTATTTATATTAACTATTTTAAAATTCTTAACTTATTCAGCAAAATCTATGTAGTCCCTTCAAAGTAATTCTGAAGTCAATTTCCGGAGTAGTCTTCAATGCGCATAGTGATTCACTTTTAATATCTACAATTGACTCAAAACGGTTTCCCCGCGGAGGAAAATATTTGTTGAATAGAATCCACACGGAGATAAATCAGGTGAATACGGTGGTTATGTCATAATATTTGTTGAAAATTTGGCAAAAATTCACGAAGAATCGGTGCAGTATGCGAAAGTGCGTTATCCTCTTTTTACAAAAAGCTTCATATAAATGATGCATAACCCTCAATTAATATTTACTGTTAACAGTTTGTCTAAAGACATTCTCAGTACACCATACCTCCATAGTCGAAGAAATCAACAAAACATTGCTTCTTCACCTGCTTTGACGTGGTTTTTTTGGTTTCCCACCTTTACCACGATATGCGGCAGAGTGATGGTCTGTCTCCGGATCGCAAGCATAGATCAAAGGCTCATTTCATAACATCTTCGTAGTAGAAAGCATTGTTTCGCAGACGTTAACGCGACTCTGTTTTTCGAAAGAAATTAGTGATTTTGGAACCAATCGAGCTTTCACTTTGCTTAGATCTAAATTATATTTTAAAATGGTTTTCACTGATCCTTTTGATATTTCAACGATTTCAGTATGATCTGTGACTGTTAATCATCGATTCTCAAGCACCAATACCTTCATTTTATTGACGTGTTGACCACCACTTGACGTTGATAGCCGCCCTGGACGTACTTCGTCATCAACGCGTTCTTGACCCTCTTTGCATAATTTATACCAATGAAAACACATGCTTGCGACAAATAGTTATCACCGAAGGCCTTTGCTAATATCCTGAACGTTTTGACACCAGATATTTAATTCAACACCAAAAATTTAATGGATCTTGTTTGTTGAATAATTTCATTAATCCTAAAAAACGCCGAATGCACTTTGTAAGCTTCAGAAAGACAAGCGTATAGTAAACCTTATAGTCCAATATTACTCCAATTGTGCGAAGGAGACATAATAAGAAAATCATGAACTTAATTTCGTTGAAATCGAGTTGAAAATTATTTTTAAGATATTTGTGTGTTGAAATAACATAATCGTTAACAGCGATATACTCTGTACCATGTTTCTGTGAAGCTTGTTAAGCCTTACACGAATTGCATTGGTAGCGGGTCACAATTCGTCTCGTCATCCTTCTTACTTTACACATACATACAACATAGCCAACTGGATTAGTAGGTGAACAAAACTATGACACATGTTGCGAGAGTGCAGATATTCTACATACATATATATAGTCCGTACAACACTGCAACAATATTTGACGTTTAATTCACCACTGGAAACAGATGCTCCGACCATGTTAAGAATCAACAGGTTGTTAGTGCATTTACATGTGAATGTAGTTTTACTCTTTTTCTTTATAAATTACACAGAAAAATAACATAGTAGTAGTGAGGACTCACCCAATTCACCACATCCTAAACAGAAGGGCTCAAAAAGCTTCATGCGCTTCAATTCGAAATCAATAGTTGAGTTGGAAAGTTCCTTTGAGCTTATAGAAAAAGCTTGTTTTAAAGAAAGCGAAGACTATTAAATATAATAATATGGGAAATTTTACTTTTTTTTATTAAGTACATAGAACTTGCTTGTTACAAGGGCTATAGTAATTTAACATAGCTTTAATTCTCTAAAAATATATTGTAGTAAAGCATATTTTGTTACAACTCAAGCTCAAACTTCGTGTTCATAAAATCATTCATCAATATGTGTGCATAGCCATCATTTTTTTAGAAGACAGTTTTCTATTACATTGGTTAGTCAGAGGCTTAGCACTTTTTTTCTGTAGCAATCACTTATGCCAGTAGTTTTAGTGTTTCTGAAGAACATTAGTAAATACTGAAACTTGAGCAAGAAAAATGAAATAGATGATGATTGTTAAATTTTTAAATGTATTACTTAAGCCAATGGTGCCTTAACTGCCGAATCCCCTATGGTATTCCTCTTAAATTCTTTATTCACCAATATTTGTCTCCTAAGCTAATACAAGAATGCTAATATTTAATCCAGCCTTTCGACTAGGAAGCCTTCAGTAATGATATGTTTGATGAATGTAGGGGCCTGGGTTACGTTGCCAAGCATCTCTATTCCGACCTTTACTCCATGTAGTTTTTGCAAAAAATTCTGGTTGTTTGGTACAGTCTAGTATTGACACGCTTCAAATCCAAAACATCAATAGAAATTTCTTGAGGCTATGCTTAAGGGATGTAATTAATATCCTCCGCTATAGCTTTGATGCCAAAACAATTATTTCCAAGTTCCGTTTTGTTTTAACTTATTGATGTTATAGCCGTGGGTAATGACATTTGTTTATATTTATAGTTAGTGACACTTTTTTGCATTTTGTGGGTCAGTGACTCTTTTGTTTTCATAATATGAGGTCAATGACCTTTTTGTTTACATTTATCCAAATTTCTTTTTTTTTACATTTGGCAAAGATAAGAATCTTTTTTTATATTTGGGTCCACTGCACCTTTTGTTTACATCTTAAGGGATCCATAAACCCTTTGTTTATATTTTCTAAGGTGAATGATCCTTTTCCTTACATTTTATCAGGTAAATGAATTTTATGTTTACGTTTAGCTACAACCTTTGCTTACATTTAGCCAAGTCCGAAACCTTTGTTACATTTGGGTTGAGTGAACCTTTTACTTTGAAGTCCTTCAAATAAATCTTATTACTTGCTTCTTATAGATTATTAGCTACCCATCGAAATAAATTACATTAAAAAGCATCGAATTAAATCCACGGCCGTTACAGCTTTCATCAACCTTATCGAAAATTTCGTAAAGGCAGGTGATGGCAAAAACCAACTACGACGCTCAGAACAAAGCTAATGAGAACAGAATTTCTCACCACACATCAGCAGCCGCAGCAATAACAGCGAGAGTAGCAGTGTACTGACCCCAGCAAGCGCTGCTAAGCGAGCGGATGAGCTCCACTGTGTTCGTGTTGACTTTGACTGACGCTCTGGCTGGCATTACTGCAGGAGCTACAGCGGTCAGCCATAACAACAAATAACAAATGCTTGTGGGTGGCATTGGTGTTGGTGTTATGCGGCCAGCGTCGCTGCCGGCGACACAAGCAACGCAACACGGACCGTAGGCGACAGAAAAAAGGCGCGCGCACATTTCGCACTCAAGCGTTGACCGGAACACATCACCACGGGACGAGTACGCGCCTCAACACAACAAAATCAAACCTGAAAAATTTAAAAGCGACGTGAGTGCTAAAGTCAAAAAACAGCAAAAGCGACAGTCGGTGAAGAGCAATTGACAACAGCGCAAGCAAAGAGCAGCAACAGTTGTGTGTGCAGCGGCAAAAAATTTGCAAAAAGTGTAAATGCGTGCGCAAGCAGTTGTAAATATAATGTGTGAACGCAGGTGTGAGCGTTGAAATGTAAAGAAATAAAAATATTTATAAATTTAAATAAGTGTGGAAATAATTATTTTTTGAAATCTGTTTTTTTCGAAAAAAAATTGTGAAAAAAATAAAATTTTGCATGAAAGTAATTTATACTCATTGTGAATTTATTAATAATTATTGCAATATACTTCCGTAATTTTGTTCGAAAAAAAAATAAAAATATTGTGTGAATAATTAAAACCAAAAAATCTGAAAAAATGCATAAATTACATTAAAATTATTAAAAAATACTTTGACTATATTAATAATTAATGCAAAACCCTTCCGTTATTGGATGTTGCAAGTGACAAATGTGAAAAATGTAGATTTTTTTTTTGAAAAAAAAAAATTAAAAAAAAGTTTTAAAACAAAATTTAAAAAAAATTTAATTTTTTTAAAATACTGTGACTGTATTAAAAGTTATCGCAATACAAACTTCTGTTGTTTGATGGTAAACGTGAATTTTCTTTTTTTTTTAAATTTTGAAAAACTAAAATTTTAAAAAAGAAATTTTTTGAAAAAAAAATTTAAAAAAATTTGAAAAAAAAATTTTGAAAAAAATTTGAAAAAAAAAAATTACAACAAAATTATTTCAAAATAGTGTGACTGCATTCAAAATTATTACAATACACTTACGTTATTTCAACTTGTGCGCGTCCACAACAAGTGTGTTTCAAAAATGCCGCGCCGGCCACCTGTGCGTATGAGTGTTCTCCTCAAGTGAAGCCAGCGAAGTAAAGTGTCAGTGCCAAAAACAAAGCAGCCACTAATGCCTGAAAGTGTTAAACAAATTAGTGTATACAATTAATTGCTTTACTTTGCAAGAAAATTTTTTTGGAATTGAAAAATAAGAACAAAAACAACAGCGCATAGCCACAGTCAGTGCCAAGGTTGCCAAGCAGCCGCGCGGGCGTTTGCACCGACGGTCGTTGCTGTCGCTGTGCCACATAACAGCACACACACAAACAGCACAACGCAGGCGGCCACTGTCGCGCACTCAAATTGCTGCTAATTAATCACAGCTGCTGAATGGTTAGTGGCGCATAAAATGAATTAACAGATCAATTAAAATGCGTAAGTGACTTTCATTTACTCATTCCCAACTATAAATTCACATATTTGCCTACAAGTTCGTACCTAAGCATATATGCGCGATAAATATACACGCCAACCAAAGCGACCAAGCAAAAGCCAAATGCTTTTGAAGTTTAATTTGATTAATTACTTGAAGTTCACTTAATTACTTTTATTAATTTCGTGCAAATAAAGTGCGACAGCGCGCCATTTCGCAGCAGAAGAAATTTTAGAAATTTCAAAGTGACTTTTCGAAATGCAATGGGTTTGCAAAATAGCAAATTGACAGACAGTTAGTTTATTTCCATATTGCAAAGTGCGCTAAGTAGCTGGAAGACATGTGTATATATATATATGTGTGTGTGTGTGTATGTGTGTGTTTACATTTCTATTTCATACGGTCCGTGCCATGCACAAATGACGGACAGACGGACAGCTAATGAATTATAAGCAGTACGTGTACTCGCTACCTATACTTGTTCATACTACATGCGTATAATATATATACAAACATACATACATACATTTATACAAAAGTATATTCATTTGTATATACACACATACCCACATGTGAACATACAAATCATACAAACATAGGCGCATATTAACAAATTTACTCGCTGATGCATCCATTCGTACACACATATGTACATATGTACATGGTATGTAGTGCATTAGTTGCCCACAAATATATGTTTTGTTGTGTGTTGCTATAACAGCACAGGGAAATTATTCGCAAACAAAAAATTGTGTTCCATATTAATTGCAAAATGTGATTTACATTGAATGCAATCTCGTGCATTAAAAGTAAAATATATAATTTTACAACTAGTTGCGCGTGTGATCAATGCATGTGTGTGTGTATGTGTAAACTATCTTATAGCATTTTAAAAATATTTCAAAGCACGCGTGTATCAATATGGCATAGTTGTGGTTAGCGATTTAATGCACTTTATTTTTAATATCTAATGGTTGCCTCGAAAAAATTGCCATAAAATATATATGAAGTAAGAATATATGTATTTAGGTATAAATATTACTTAAAATTTTAGAGCATTCATTTAAACCATTTTGGCATTAAAATTTCATTAATGCATTAAGTATTGATAGGCCGTTTTAAAAACAAAAAGATATTTACCAGCAACTGCTAAGAGCTTCGCCTGTTAACTTATGAAAAGTGCTGTTACATTATTTTGCATTTTAGGGGATGATATATGATATTTTATTATTGGTGCGTGACTAAGTTTCCGCTGTTTGTCAATAGATAGCTCCAGCTGTTTTAGTGGTGATCGATGTTGATATACCCAAAACGCGATAAAGTTAACCTAGACATTTGAAAAATTAATTACGTGTCTACCAACAAAGTCAGTAATTATTTTTGTATGTGGCATGTGCACTTTTGGTTGCCGAATGTATCTGATTTATTTGACAAATAATCGTCATTTGCGGGAAATGTTGACTTGCCTCTTTCAGTCGAATAAATCGGCGACTGAAGCACATTGCGAACTCCAAAAAGTTTACGGAGGTGCTATCCTAAGTAACATCACATATTGTGCTTGGTTTTGTCGCTTCAAAGACAGCGATTTCAGGTGATGGAAGGCCAATTGGAGACGCTGCTCGATGAAGATCAGTGTCAAATGCAAAAAGAGCTGATTCCCAACCCTGAAGCAAGAAACCTAACGTTTTATACTTTTGCAACTTGCAAAAGTCAAGACCGATCTTAAAGTGTGAAACACCGATCAGAAGATCCGATCCCAAATTGACCAGCATATGCAGTATAAAGTCAACTGAAAGTTCAGAAATCTATACATTAGGTATATGGGATCTCAGGGAAATATTGACCCGTTTAAACCCATACAGACATACCGTTGTCAGGAAAGGATTATTCTTGAAATTCAACTATATATATCATATATTGACCGATATTTGAGCTCAAAAGTCAACTATACTTGTAGGCACTGGGGTCCAAATATTCGGTACCTAGGGACTTGAGCAGTTTTAGTTAGACTTGGACAATTTTTGATCATTAGGCGAAATACTCGAAAGGGATTATACATTCAAAGTTATATACCGTTATATTAATTGCTTCTTCATTTGTGTAATGAAAAGTGATATATTGGAAGTGTAATCCGATTTCGCCCATTTTCATACTACCACATAGGAATAAGAGATTAATATTATGTCCTAAATTTAGTCGAAATCGGTTAGTCGAGTCGCGAGATAGGTGATTTCACTACAAAAAGAGCAATGCCTCACCCGTGACTCAATTTTTACCCAAGCTCTCTCAAAGCTCTCTCATACCAACTCGAGTGTAAAATTCTATGTCTATTCCTCTTAACAGATCCATTATATAAGGAGTGGACGGAGTTATCTTGCGATTATATATATTTTTAAAGTGCCGGTAGGACTTCTAAAAGGGATTCATCGTGAGTGAATTTGGTTATTGTAACTTAAGCGGCTTGGGAAATATTTTTATTAAACAAAATAAAATCAGAGGTGTCCGTCAATGATCTCCTGTACCAAAATACAGTTCCATATCTTCAATTAGTGTTTTATTATGGTATTTTATACATTTTCAATAAATTTTTTTGGGCATGGCAGTGGTTCGATTACGCCCATCAACGAACTCGAACTTTTTTTTTTTTGTACCCATATACCAAGTTTTATCGAGATATCTCAATTTTTACTGAAGTTACAACTTGTACGGTAGAACGGATAGACAGATAGTCACTTGGACCTCAACGCATCTTGTCATCCTAAACATTTATATATATATAACCGTATATCTATAATCCAAGCTAGCTAACGATAGATTTGAGAATGGATTTAGACGTGGAAAATATTGCTTATTTACTTTGTTATATACTGAACTTACCAATGGGGTAGTTTCCAATTATTTTTAAAATAGAAAGATCCCTTTTTAAGGGATTAGGTCAGACTATAGCCTAGGAAAGGCATAACTTTGTCAATTTATTCTGTGAGTAAGTAAAAACGAATAGAGTTTATATTTTTCAGTCTACGCTAAATGTTTATTTGAACATATGAAATTTTTCTTGACATTTTGATACGAAACGGAGTGTACTGGTCTTTTTCAACTTTTTTTATTTTTTTCTAAATAGACTCTTAATGGAATTCCAGGAACTCCTGCTATCTAAAACAAAACCAAAAACTATACAAAATATTTCAGTAAAATACGTAAGTTTTTCGCTTTTTATCAATTTCTCGGAAAGTTGCGGGCTTATGTAATCTTTTTCAATTTTTGAAAAATTACAAAAATTGTATTTATAAAAATATACATATGTATAATAATAAGAGCACATCTAATTTTTTTTATTACATAATTTACTTTGAATCTTTAGAAAAAATGAATTTCAAGTGGATTTTAGTGATAGTCCTGAGTACGTTGTCGCCCGATTTGAAAAATACAGTTTTAAGAAGCTAACCGACCCGAAATTTGACACTACGGCAGATTTGAAGGAATTTTTTTTTACTATTTTATCAATTGAATAATGTTTTACTCGTAGAACCTTAAAATGTATTTTAAGAAAAAAAGTTTCAGATTTTCGGAAAATCCGAGATTAGCCTAATCGGTTAAATGCGAAAAAATAAAAATAAAACAATTTAATTTGCAACAAAGTATATTTGTCAATTGTTTACACCTCGTAACTATGTGACTAATCACATGTTATATGAAAGAAAAAAGTAAAGCATTTGCGTACACTGAAGTATATTTTCAAAACATCAATACCTCGTTGTCGTAGGTGGAATAGTGCATGGGTAAATATTATTTCTTCCTAAACAAATACAAAAATGTGGAAACTATAACATTCGTTAACACATCATTCTGGATTTGTGACCAATTTATGTGCTACATACATATGTATGTATTCAAGAATGTGTGTATATAATCGGTTGCACGTGTATGCCCATCCTCTTTATTAGCCAACATGAATTAGCGCCACCACTTCACCTGACCGCTTTCGCACAGCCAACTTTTTGCAACTTTTGCGCCTTTTTAAGCTTTTGCTTTTGTTATTTCCTTTAAAGTGTATGGGTGTGTCGTGCCTGTGCTTGTGCATTGCAGCGTTTCCCTCGCAAATGAATTATGTCTTCCTCTTCCTTTCTATATACACGAGTATAGACATAAAACCATTTCGTTATTTTCCTCTCGTCTCGTTTGTTGTTTTCATTAATGCGCATTCTGCTTTTGGCTTCGTCCGTTGCTGTCTTGCATTTTGTTGTTGGTTTATACTTTTTTCGGCTTTATTTATTTTGAATCTTATGTTTATACAATTGTTTAGTGTTTTCGTTTTCTGCGATATGCTCGCGTTTATTAACTATTAGACATTTTTTTTTTTTTTCAAATTTTTGTCCATATTGTTTTTGTATTTGTACTGCTTTTGTTGCTGCCCAGAATTCATGCGGTTTCATACAACTCATGAGCTGCTTATATTTAGTCGTAACTAATGGAGCATTACACTAGTAAGTCATATAAAATTTATTGAATGCAATTAATCCCTTTCCATGCCACACGCTCCACGTGTATCTCTAAGCGAGTTTATTTAAGTTGTTGCTCTTATTGTTGTTGGTGTGGAGGTGTTTTTATTGCGTCTTGTTATCGCTAACCCTTGGCGTACATTTTATTGTGCGTTGGAAACAAAAGTTCACTAATAAATTGTTTCATGTCATTATTTTTTTTTTTTTTGTTTTTTTATGCGTTGCTCGATTTCTACACGCAGCTTACTCCATCCATATGGACGCATATCAGCTGCTATTGTTCGTGAGAGTGGTGTTTGCTTTGTTTTTGCTTTTTCAAGTATTGTAGAATCAATTAGTCATTATATAAAAATATGCCTGTTGTAATTTGCAAGGATTGTATTTATTTTATCAACGGGAAAATTAACAATTGAAGTGAAAAGAAAAGACGAAGTAACTTCTTACAAAGAGAAAGGTGTAAACATTCATTAGAAGAATTTTACTAGTATTATTTTTAAGTTGTA